ATAATAATAATAATAACAATAATAGATAACATTTGTATAGCGCAAATCCCAGCTCAACAGCAAGCTCTACACACGTCACAATCTATACTATTACCCCAGCAGACATGAGAGCATTCTGAAGCAAGTTTCAACTTCCTGGGAATCATACAGTACAAGTGGCCATTTATAGGCGCTAAAACACCAACATACTGACAAGGTCTGATTTTACGAACATATGTGAGCCGTTGAATTATTTTTATGAACTCTTGAGGGCTCCTACCTACTGCTGGAGTTATTTTGTGTAACTGTCGTCATAAACCAAAGTTTATGTAAAGTTAACATGATCTTTTTTGTCACGTTTCAGAACTCGATCCGGCACAACCTGAGCCTCAACAAATGTTTTGAGAAAGTGGCGCGCCGGAAAGACGAGCCCGGCAAGGGCGGGTTCTGGCGCATTAACCCCGACTACGGCGACATGGTGGAGAACGGCGTCTTCAAAAAGAGGCGTGGCAGCCGTGACGTCATCCCGAGCCCACCCCTCAAGCGGTTCAAGCTGGAGGACGATGACTTCCCCTGTGTGTCCGGTATGAAGAGTGGGGCGCGCGAGGACAAACTGCTCAGCAACGGTTTGTACGCGGACTCGAGTCTCGATGATGACGACGACGAAAACTCGCTGACGCTAAGAGGAGACTTCAACTGGACGTCCATTCTCAACCAAGACATCGACATCGGCGGGAGAACGATCAAAACGGAAGACATTTTGGACGAGACCGAGCCTTCACCTTTCATGGCCATGAGCCCGCCAAGTTCGGAGACAAACTCTGATGATCTCGGCTTGGATGACCTCTTCTCCCAGACTGACTTCGCTATGGATCTGTCCGTTGACTTTCAAACCAACGACCCTCTGGACTTGACAGTGCAAGGCACGACCATCCGGCCGCCCGAGTGGTGGAGCGGGGACGTGGTAAACAATAACGTAGACACGAACAACAACTGCAGCGGACTCAACACGCCAGTGCCTCCCTCACCCGAGTCGGACCGAGGGGATACTATGTGGGGCGACAGCTTAGGCCTAGGACCCACAGGAAACTTTGACCTAGAGAACTTGTTCGATATTGACAATATCCCGAGTCCACAGTTATGAAATCTGCCTAAATAGGGTTTTTTTCAAATGATATTTAGATCGTCTCATTTCGCACATGCGTTATGCAATGACTTTCGACAGCCTACCATGCCTATTGGTCAGTATGTTTCTTGGTCTCTCAAGATTTGCAGAGTGCATACAGACTTAGGGACCCGACGGTTGACCCGTGGAAAGTGTTGGCTACTGGACTTTGTTACTCTCCTCTCATGGTTCCAAGCCACAGACTTGAGTCCAAAGAGAGGCAAAGCCCCCATTGTTGGTTCTGTCTTTAAAACTATCGCGTTGAAAAAGCGAGATAACGCGAAGGATTTGAAGAAATTGTAATGGTATACAGAAAGTCCTTACCCGACGACAGTATAATATAATGTTATGCCTGGACCCAGATCAGGGAAAGGTTGTAATGCTCAATCTTCTGTATCTCGACCTGTAGAGATATGGAGTATTATTCGTACACACACGTACACACACACACACATATGCGCACAGACACACCCACACACACACACATACACAAAACACACTCATACACACACGTACACACACACATGCTCACGTACACACATATACACATACACATACACACACACATACACACATACATACATGCACACACAATGCGCCTAATGCGCACCCCTACACGCACATTATCGCAAGCACACAAGTACAATAGCGGAAAGATATCGGTCCAAACCCGCGGATCAGTCGCCATTAGTAGCTTGTCGTACTTTCGTTTAGATTAGAGTTCTCATCGCCACTCCCTTTACCGTATTGTGGGATAAACTGGGCAGTGGATCAAACGAGCAGCGTGCGAACCACGACGAGCAAACACACACACACACACACACACACACAC